AGTCTCCAAATAATCATCATTTTGGGACTTTTACTCTATTGTCTCCTAACAGTACACACTTTTGTTTAAGATTCATTTCTATTGGGCAGACACACAGGTCAGGATAAATATCAACCAGTGCTGCTCTGATTGAACTCTGTGGTAGTTGTGGTGCATGCCGGGTCATTGTGTGTAGGTGGATCTGAGCTTCACACTGACTTCTTTGTTTTGTGACAGTGGCTTCCTGAGAAGTGACAAGCCGTTAGGAACAGCCCAGCTCAAACTGGAGAAACTGGAAACTGAAAGCGAAGTGAGAGAGATAGTGGAGGTGAGCGGGGCTGTTTTTCAACAGTATGTGCATAGGAGCCAGAGACGAGAGTGCAAACATCAGCTGTGAAAGCAAACATATATGTGTGTTTAACACATGAACTTGAGCTAAAATGGGACAATCTCACACCCATTAGCCAGATATCACTATGTTTACATTTGTGTAGGAGATGTATGTTTATGGCATTGGCTTCATTTCTGCACGCAGCTCATGGATGGGCGGAAGGCCACAGGTGGTCGTCTGGAGGTGAGGGTGCGTCTCAGAGAGCCGCTGGGTGGGCAGGACCACCAGACTGTCACAGAACGATGGCTAGTGCTAGAGGAGCCACAGGTTAGTGCTCCTGTGGCTGTGTCTAATGAAGGCACGGCTGAATGCTCATGTTTGTTCCTGGTCTGTTAATATTAAAAAGTGAACAGCGTCACACTCGCCCAAAATTTGAACATTAAGATGAAGGTAAATATTTAGGGTGATTAAAGGTGCATTATACAATTTCATTTAATGACACAGATTAAGAGATGGCCTGCTTAATGTATTTATATTGAAATATTAATAACATTATAAATATAAAAAACACGGTTACACTTTATTTTAAGGTGTCCTTGTTACAGTGTAGTTATACATTTAAGTACTGAGTAATATTAATTAACTGCATGTACTTACTATATAGTTAGGGTTAAGATTAGGGTTTGGCTTAGGGCTACTTGAATGTAATTATGCATAATTTATTGTTATTATAATAGTAAATACACGTAACGTGTAACAAGGACACCTTAAAATAAAGTGTTACAAAAACACTGTTGTCAGATTACACAAAGAAACTCAAAGGTCTTTCTTCATGTGAAACGAAGGCCTGTGTGTTTAATCGGACCATTTTACAATGATGCATGAAAGATAGGACAGAAATATATTGCTATTATATATTAAAATTCTGATATTTCATTTATTATTATTATTAACAGTAATAATAATAATAATCAAAATTTATAAATTACTATTATATAATATTCCTGTTTTCTGGGTTTAAAACCCAACAGTGCAAATAAAAAGTGGACTAAAAACAACAACAATAAAAATTGATTTATTATTATAATAATTATTATTGTTGTTGTTGTTGTTGTTAATATTAACAATAATATATTGCTATTATATAATATTCCTCTTGGCTAGGTTTCAAAATTCTACAGTGAAAATGACCAAAAACACAAATAATAATAATAATAATAGTTTATTATTTTTAATAATAATTATAATACTATTGATATATTAATATTTTATAATATTCCTCTACAGTGTGAATGGAAAATAACCAACATCATAAAAAAATAAGTGTAAACAGACAAATAAACAATAATAACTGATATTATTATTAGTAGTAGTGGTAGTAGTAATGTCATTCTACACCTGTACAATATTTGTTCATAATACCTTAAAGAAAATCATACAGAACAGGCATTTATTCACATTGAACCTGGAATAATACAGTAAAATGTATGCATTAATCTTAAACAGTAATAGATCTATATGACAATGAACGTCTGACAGTACTTTATGATTTTGGTAGTCATATTTCTTAGTGAAAATAGGGATTTTGTGTGTGGGCGTGTGAGAGTGTGAGCGTGTGTGAGTGTGTGAGCGAGTATGTGAGTGTGTGTCAGTGTGAGTGCGTGAGTGCGAGTGTGTGTAAATGCCATATTTTGGTTTTGACTGTCATCTGCTGTCTGTGTTAGGTACTGCTGTAACTGACACTGATTTCATCTTCACAACGTAAGAAAGTTTGTCCCATTTCTACTGACAGATATATGATCACATGCATGTTACACTTCACCTTACAGTTGATTTTTCTTTCAGGTCTTGCGGTCTCAGCGGTTTTATCAGAGTGGATGAAGGTATGGACGATGAAAGCTCAACGGTGCTGCTAGCCTCGGGTACGAACCACGTGAAGGAGATAGTGAGGAACTTGCTCAACAGAGAGACAGTCACTGACAGAGGGAGTTAGCTTTGTCTTTATCAGGGTAAAAGAGGTTGGACCAGGATGTAAGAGTTGGGGTGGTTATTAAAAATACAGGAGATATTAATAGGAGGAGCAGGAAAATGTGCGCAGACTTGCATGAGATTGATATGCCTTTTAAACGGCCCTTTTGAGATAGATTGCCTCTTGATTTTATAATAACGTTCACCCCAACTGTTACATTAATGCATTGGAGCTGAAGCCAATGAGAGCTAACCTTTTTTTTTTTTTTTTTACTGCTCTGGGATGCACTTACGCACTAATGCCAAAGTAATCACTGCTGCTGCAGTAAGATGAATGACTTAATCTGTTCTCTCTCAAACTAGGAACCTGTTCCTGCCATATCTCAAATACTAATGTATGATTGCTATGCAAATGAGTTCTACACGATTAGCTATGCAAAACGGTTTGCGTTTGAATCCCAAACATTTTGTCAGACATTTCAAAACTTGTTTACATCCTATGTGAATTTACTGCTTGATTTATTACGGATAGGCCGTGTCAAAGTACTGCTGTTAAATATTATATTCCTTATAAATACTATTAAAGCCATAAACCAGTTTTTACTAATTGAACCAGATGTAAATTATTCATTAAACGTTCTGAATAGTCGATTTTTTTTTTTAATGCTTGCTTCAGGAGGTAAATGAGCGAGCTTGCCATGTTTGGGAATGATTGAAAAATTATAATTTTTCCAGTAAATGTAGGCTTCAGTAAGCTTTCCCAGCATTTTGCTGACGATCAGGACTAGAACTGGTGCTGCAATAGTCATATTCAGACTCTCTGAACAGAAGAATTAATATTCAGAACAGTTTAGTTGACCTTATAAGTTAGCAAAAGTAGATTTTAGAGCTATTCTGCTTTGTTTTGTATATATATATATATATATATTAAACTTAATATATGAGAGAAGTCTTTTATCGCTCTTCTTGCACTTGACGGTTGTTCTGTACTAGGGTTGCTCCTAGTAGGCACTTTAGCCACATATAGCCAATGTTTACATTGAGGTCTAGTGCGCAGTTAAGTTCAGACACATAAGATGACACCTTTTGATTATATTTGCCATAGCAATGACCTCAGAAATAGCTTAAAGGATTAGCTCACCCAAAAAGAAAAATTTGCTGAAAATTTACAGGCCATCCAAGATGTAGATGAGTTTGCTTCTTTATCAGAACAGATTCAGCAATATATCACTTACTACCAGTGGATTCTCTGCAGTGAATGGGTGCCGTCAAACAGCTGATAAAAACATCATCACCACACCACTCCAGTCCATCAATTTTTTTCAAATCCAGCATGTTTGTAATAAGTCATTTTAACTTTGACTCCATAACCCATAATAATGCTTCTTCCGGTGAAAATGTCCATCCTCTGTTGTCCTGTCACATCAAAATCCAGTCTGTTTTGGGCTATTTTCGCTTGTAAATGGTGGTGCTTGTTCCATGCATATTCCTCTCCTGATTCAGACACTGGGTAAAGCAGTATATTATGGATAGAGGAGTCAGATTTGAGCTGGAAGCAATTGTTTGAAGTTAAAAATGTCTTGATGGGCATTTGTTTTTTTCAAGATTTTAATTGATGGGCTGGAGTCATGTGAATTACTTGCGGATTATTGTGATGTTTTTATCAGCTGTTTGGACTCCCATTCTGACGGCACCCATTCACTGCAGAGGATCCATTGGTGAGCAAGTGATGTAATGCTGAATTTTTTCCAAATCTGTTCCAACGAAGAAACAAACTAATCCACATCTCGAATGGTATAAGTACATTTTCAGCAATTTTTCATTTTTGGGTGAGCTATTCCTTTAACTTTGCGAGTCTAAAAATACCTCAGTTTTGCCCCATTTATATTTTGTGGTCTGTTGGATTACAGCTTGTGAAGAATTGACTGACATTTGGCTTTTAAGCATGGACAATGTACAATCTAGATCCATCAGCCTAGTTCTTACTCTGTCCTTTCATTTCAGTTACCGTTGTTCCCATCTCATGTGAATTGTGTGATTTGGGGATTTCCAGTCTCGGATCGAGCTTTGTCCTAGTTTAAATTGTACTGTCAGTGTTGATTCTTCATTAAATGGTTTTTAAATCCACCACGAGGCTTATCCTGAAAAAACGTGGGTCTCACTTGTCTCATGTTACATATAGCATGTTTCAGTTTTTTCTTTCTACTCTTTCCCTCAAGAGTCAGCCATGTCATTTATTTTCATTTTACACCAAGTTTATTGAAACGGTTTTGTTATTAAATGAGAAAAACAAAGATCTGCAGTTCCTGACTTTTCTTCATTAACTTAAATGGATTTTATTTTACTTTTAATGGAGACTATTAATATTGAAAAAAAAAAAAATGTACAAAAATGACATTTTGTATATTCAACAGGTTTGATAAAGACTGCTTTTATTGACATTTGTAGCGTACAATAAAGAAAGGTTGTATTTTTTCCTTTTCTTTTTGGCTTTTCATACATTGCAAATTTATTCCCATTCCACCCATGTCAGGTTTTAACAGTGTTTCATCACAGATCAAATCAATAGTATGTAAAACTGTTCTTTCGAGCAGATCGTCCTCTGAAATGCTGTCGAAATGCAAAGATTTTCTGAGAACTACACGTTCTCGTTGGTTTCAGCATGCATGCTGTATCACGCTTTGGGCCGGCCAAAAAAATAAATAAAAATTACATGGAAAAAGGCTATGGTTAACAAAATATAGAAATGTCAAGATATACAATAATGCACATCTAGAAAAACAACGACAAAGGTGGATACAGGGAGTAACTAAAGGCTGTTTTGAGCTGTGTTAGTGGGACGACAATGCAGCTTCCATGTAATGCCATTTATTTTTCATGAACAGTCTGCTTCCAAAGCTGTCTGCACTCTTCACCAAAAGCCAGAAACACATGATTTATGTCTCAACTGTTGACCTGTTAATAAAGGGCTGTGAGGTTCACTTGCTGTGGATCTTCATATCAGCTGCTGTCCTCATTCATCCAGCGTAGGCCATCTGATGAAACCAACCATATCCGTCATTATGCAAAACAGGACAATATGTTATCATCCCACCTTTACTTTGTTATCCGACTAAAGATTAACTATAATTTGATTGTCATAGTCAAGATACTTCAGATGAAGTCATTTTAATAACACCTAGTTAGCTAGTTAAAAGAGGGCTGGTTAAAAACACTCTGCAGTCACAGTGTCTTTCTATCAGTTTAGATGTGATTGACAATCCAGACCTTTGAAATATGTCTTGATGATGAACATATCAGCTTATGAATTTAAGGCAAATGCCCTTTTCTCTTAAAATGTGATCCACAGTGACATCCTGAATTACAAGAGCTCCTTATATTGGTAGTTTACAGTTTTGTGAGAGTTCCAAAATGAGCTGGCTAACTGTAGTAGTAATCAGCTTTCTCCATGCGAGTGAAAAATCAATACAAAAATATGATTCAAATAATATCCTGCTTATGAAGTGAGTGATCTCAAAGATTCTTTTATCTGATATCACATCAGTAAAAGATGCATCAACCTGAATTGGGGAATCTAAAGCAGGGCTCCAGACTAACAAACATGACTAGTAAAATGAAATGTTTAGTAGCTAAATGCGTTTTAAAATTACTGAACCAATAAACATAGCAAGTCATAGCAGTTCAATAAATGTTTGCAAAACTGTGTTCAATGACTGAATCTGATTAAACATGCCAACTCACAAATCCATTCGACACACATAAAAAAAATTACGCGTGTAGTTAAAAAAATATTTTTTTCCCCTTCCTCGTGTACATTAAAGGGCTTCATATGAAACCATTAACGGACACACAAAAACACTTTCCTGACAATATTATCAATAACTGCCACAAATTTGTATTTTGTCGCATTTGCAACTATTCCAGAAGCAGTCTGAAGCCCTGCTAAAGCATATTAGATCTATAAAAGGACATAAAACATGTAAAGGTATGGTCACATTTACAGTTCTTCAGCAAATTTTCACAGGCAAAATCCAGTAATTTAAATAGGAATCCACGCAATCATGAATTTTGTGCGATGCCATATTTCACAACAACACCTGTTGACCAACGTAAAGTTGCTTGGTTTCAAAGTGCTTTCTATGTGAGCTGTGCTTCACACATCGAACACTACTGACAACAGACAATGAACTTTTTTGCCCACAAAATTTCGCTAATGTAACCGCACCTTAAAGGGATAGTTCACCCAAAAATGAAAATTCTGTCATTAATTACTCACCCTCATGTCGTTCCAAACCTGTAAGACCTTCGTTCATCTTCGTAACACAAATTAAGATATTTTTGATGAATTCCGAGAGATCTCTGACCCTCCATAGACAGCAAGGGTCCTAACACAATCAAGGCTCAGAAACGTAACAAGGACTAGGGCTGTCAAAATGGCTGAAAAACTAAATTCAAATTTTGTACTTAAATATTATCAATATTCAAATTATATTCGAATTTAAAAGGCATCATTTCAGTTAGGGGGGAAAAAGCTTTTGGCTTCTCTCCTGAGGCCACAAGAGGGCGCATCGAGCAAAATATTATGCACGTTTCTTCAAAGCATAATAAAATAACAGGACTATCTTTGAAAAAAAGTGCATAATGTTTAAAATAATGTTTAGAAACCTTATATAATTAAAGTTGCTTAAACAATTAGAAACTAAACAGAATCATGCATGTATAGTTTAATACAAAGGACCAAAAACCAAATCACAAAGAGTACTTTCTTCATTTAAAAACTTGAGATGCAGTAGGATGGGGAAAAACCGCCATAAAGTCTTGAGACATGTTTTTAAAAAGTTGAACTTACATTAATTTTACATAACTTTCTAAACATGCCGCTCTCTTGTGCGAGACGCGAGTGCAACGGTGATAGATGTCCCTCTAGAAAATGTGATAAATATGCGTTCTGTGTGAACGGTTTGGTTTCGGTTTTGACGTAAACAACATCATCTCCGCATTGATGTTCTTTTTCCCGCAATATTTTGAATGAACAATGTAGCAGCGCCGCATCTAGTGGGTTCAACTGGATAGACTAACAAAAACATTAAAATGCAATGACACTTACATCGTTGTCGCATTTCGTGCGCCACTGATAAGGCTGCCTGACGCACACCTAAAATTCGAATGCTACGTTTTTGCATTCGAATGTGGATTTTTATTTTAAATTCGACGAATATTCGAAATTCGATTTTTTTTTTGACTGCCCTAGCAATGACATCGTTAAAATAATCCATGTGACATCAGTGATTCAACCGTAATTTTACAAAGCTACGAGAATACTTTTTGTGCAACTTTAACAAATGACGACTTTATTCAACAATTCGTCTCCTCCGCGTCACCCTATAGCGCCATTTTGGAGAGAATCACATACGTAAACAACGTATGCTGTTCTGTGTCAGCAGCACCGTACGCGGATATGTTGCATACGTTCTTTACGTATGTGATACTCTCCAAAATGGCACTATAGGGTGACGCTATATGTTGAATAAAGTCGTTATTCGTTAAAGTTGCACAAAAAGTATTCTCGTAGCTTCGTAAAGTTACGGTTGAACCCCTGATGTCACATGGATTATTTTAACGATGTCCTTGCTACGCTTCTGAGCCTTGATTGTGTTACTTACATTGCTGTCTATGGGAGGGTCAGAGAGCTCTCGGAATGCATCAAAAATATCTTAATTTGTGTCCCAAAGATGAACGAAGGTCTTACAGGTTTGGAACGACATGAGGGTGCGTAATTAATGACAGAATTTAAATTTTTGGGTGAACTATCCCTTTAACACTATGAGACGCTCATGGCATTAAGGACCCTAAACTGATAGCTGAATTATTAAGGGCTTTGGAACCACATACCAAAATCCAACCTTTCCTCATCTATGAATATAACATTCATCTTTAAATAAAGTTTTAGTAAATATTAGTAAATCCATTCTTCATTTCCTACTGATGGCTTAATATCCCGTGCACTGCATTGCTATTCCTTACACAATCCTTTATATCAGTGGTTCCCAATCCTGGTCCTGGAGAACCCCCAACACTGCACGTTTTTGGTGTCTCTCTTATCTGACACTCACATTTGAGGTCTTGGAGTCTTCACTAATGAGCTGATGAGTTGAATCAGGTGTGTTTAAATAGGGAGACATCTAAAATGTGCAGTGTTGGGGGTTCTCCAGGACCAGGATTGGGAAACACTGCTTTATATGATAACATGTTAAAAACACTGGCAGAACATTTTATAAACATGGGCCACTAAAAAGTTGAAAGAAGAGATGGGACGGGGATGGGATGCTAAATGCAGTGGCCCAAAGAAACTGTAACATTTCATCCTCTATCCCGGTCCAAACCAATCCACTATAAAAGCTTTATTGGACTGAGACCTTCAGTGATGTCAAAACCTACCATTATGTGGATCTTGAAGTTGTAGTTGAATTCCTGAAGGCCGCTTGAAATTATTGTTGGATCTTATTGTCTTGTAATAATAATAAAGTCTATAACAGAGGTCCGTTCTTGACATTTGCTACAGTAACTCAATCGTCAACATTCCTAATACTGTTCCACAATCTTTCCGCTACCATGCCAAGCAGCCCGTCTCTGAGGAAGCTACATCATTTTAGCTTTGGAGCAGTTTAAAACAAAATGAGGTCCATATTCATGAAATAAAGCATCTGGTGATTCATAAAGCTTAGAGGCAAGACTGAAGCTCGTTCTTCGTTTCTAATTGAGGCCCAGGCACTGTGTACCAGAAACCATATCATGGTGCACACCTTCCCTTCTGTCACTCGTCTCCATTAGGACTGAGCGTGTAGAGCGCCCTCTTGTGTTTGAGGAGCTTAGTGTTGCTACAACGGTTCTGAAGAGATCGAATTCAGGGTCGCCACCCCTTTTGACTCAACAGGGCCTATGGTTTCCACAGTGGAGTTGAGAGGTGAGGAGAAACGAAAGAGAGCACCACATTCAGAGGGCGTCCCAGAGGAGATGGTGCATAGGTGGTATGGAGGACTTGTTCCTGCACAGCTTTCAGGCTCTTTGAAGTGCAAATGAGAGAAAGAGAGCGAAGAGGGACTCGAGCTGGTGGGAGGCATGAGTCTGAGACTGGATGGATTCCCTCGCTTTAGGAGATGATCTCCAGGATGTAGAAGATGAGCTCCATCACCACAGGCCCTTCACTTAGCTGGCAGGCCCCGCTGTGGATCACTGGGATGAGGGCGCTGTCTAGATCACTCAGGTACTGGGGGAGCAGTGGCTGACCGTTACTGCCTGCTAGGTAGCCCACCTGTAAGACATTTCAGAGTTTCAGACATTTTAGCTCCATCCATATTAAGAATGATAACTATAACGATAACTACATTAGCATCCAGATAACATTGTTTATTATATGCATGTGCTGCAGTTTTGTTGCCTGTCGCTTTAAATGCTCAAGCTCTTTAAAGTCGGTAGGATTCTGATCTTAAAGGGAGAGTTTTTGTTAAAGAAAATTTGTTAAATTGTCCTCTCACATCAAAATCCACGGACATATTTCTTTAGTACAGTTGTAGACGGTTTTCATTAGTAAACGGTGCTTGTTATGTGCATATTTCTCTACTGATTCAGACAAGACAAGTATTATGAATAGAGGACTTGTATTTTAGCCGGAAACAATGGTTTGAAGTTACAAATGTCTTAATGATAGATTTATTACAAACACGCAGCTTCCCACTACACAATTCACAGGATTAATGTGATGTTTTTATCAGCTGTTAGGTCTCTCATTCTGACGGCACCCATTCACCACACCATTGGTGAGCAGGTGACGTAATGGATGGCCTGACGAGGAGTTCATTTTCAATTTTGGAAAAGATGACTCCTCCAGACTAAAAGCAACATTTAAATGGAGCTTGTCATTGTCACCTGATCTGAGTCCAACGTGACCCGCAGGCCCAGTTTGGCCATGCCGTCCTCTTTGAGAAGTTTGAGGTGAGGGCACAGGGCCATGCAGAAAGCCCTTGCCACATTCTCAGCGAGTTGGCTGTGGTCTGCAGGATCGCTCAGGCCATTGGTCTGGTCCTCGGTCCGCAGGAAGAACACCTAAGAAACAACACAACATTTAATATACAGAGTGAAAAGTAGAATTGTATCATTTGAGACAAAAAAAGATGTGCTTTTGTTCATATTATATTAGTCCAAAACAACATTGGATTCCACTGAATTTCATTGTATGGACAAAATTTTTTTTAAAAACACCTTTTTCAAAATATCTTTTGTGTTGCACAGAAGAAAGAAAGTCACGCAGATTTAAATGTCATCACAATAAAGATCCTAACGTTAAATGAAGATGAATATTGAATCAATGTTAAATACCTCTGTCCAACGGATGACTTTCCCATTGGCTTTATACTCCGAGCCATGGAAGATTTTAACACTGGTGACTGACTCCATGGATTTTCCATCAATGGGGCTGATCACACTGAAAATAAGAAAAGTGCATTTTTTTTTAAAAACACCAAGAAATTTTTCAAAATATCTTTTGTGTTGCACAGAAGAAAGTAAGTCACGCAGATTTAAATGTCATCACAATAAAGTTCCTAACGTTAAATGAAGATGAATATTGAATCAATGTTAAATACCTCTGTCCAACGGATGACTTTCCCATTGGCTTTATACTCCGAGCCATGGAAGATTTTAACACTGGTGACTGACTCCATGGATTTTCCATCAATGGGGCTGATCACACTGAAAATAAGAAAAGTGCACGAATGATGAAAAGAGTGATGTTTGTTATGACAGATCAACAGCTAGATGTTTGCACAAGGTTAAAAAAACACATTATTTTCCACATACCGTACATTCTTGTTGCTCCTCTCTGCCCTGCCTTTTTGAAACGCGTCGATTTTTACAAATCTCATCGTTCTAAAAAGTGCGGTGTGCTTTGATTGGCCAGCTATCCAGTGCGTTGTTATTGGCCGAATACCTCAAGCGTGTGATGGAAATGTAACACCCCTTACCATATTTGGAATATCAGCTTCCATGGCGACAACAATATTACAGCGAGAATAAAAGTTACGCCTTCTTTCTTTGCGCACACATTTCGCCAGTGTTATGCAGATCTTCCCACACAGTGACGTAGATGAGTCTTAACTTTTAGAAAGAATATCTCTTTGGGTTTGAGACTTTAATCTTTGCGACTTTATGGATCTAATATATGCATGAACAGCTTGTAACACTCTAAAGACAAGGGAAAACATGAAATTGCATATATTTCATATATATATATATACAGTGGGTACGGAAAGTATTCAGACCCCCTTAAATTTTTCACTCTTTGTTATATTGCAGCCATTTGCTAAAATCATTTAAGTTAATTTTTTTTCCTCATTAATGTACACACAGCACCCCATATTGATTGAAAAACACAGAATTGTTGACATTTTTGCAAATTTATTAAAAAAGAAAAACTGAAAAATGCTCAGTATTTAGTAGAAGCACCCATTTGATCTAATACAGCCATGAGTCTTTTTGATGCAACAAGTTTTTCACACCTGGAATTGGGGATCCTCTGCCATTCCTCCTTGCAGATCCTCTCCAGTTCTGTCAGGTGGGATGGTAAACGTTGGTGGACAGCCATTTTTAGGTCTCTCCAGAGATGCTCAATTGGGTTTAAGTCAGGGCTCTGGCCGGGCCATTCAAGAACAGTCTGTACATTAATGAGGAAAAAAAATTAACTTAAATGATTTTAGCAAATGGCTGCAATATAACAAAGAGTGAAAAATTTAAGGGGGTCTGAATACTTTCCGTACCCACTGTATATACCCTGACTGGAAGCACTGTAGCCTATCCATGTCATTGTTAGGATAACGTCTTATTAACCAACAAATGGTTCATCAGGCATAACAGAGAATCATGACAGAGCCAAAGATATACAGAATTCAAAAATATAAATAACAGCACGGTATATAATTACATTTTGGTAAATTAAAAAATATATCTTTGTATGTATACAGTATAATATCATTAAAAGTAAATAACGGAATATGGGAGCTACATGAATCTTTTGGAGTTTGCAGCCTGCATTTACTGCTAACAGCTGAACATGATGTGCATTTGATTAAGACCTCAGCAGCACACTATTAAACCAGCCTGGATCATTATTTGATGCGAATGCGAAGTCTCAGTTTTAGCTGTCTACTTACCCCTTGTTGACATTGTGGTCATCATCAACCCACTGGATATGGACGTGCTCCTGGTTCTCCTCCTGATCAGTTTTCCCACAGGCAATCCTGAAATCTTTCATCTCTCTCAGGGCTTGCCGTAAGGCCTCCATCGTTTCAGCTGTAATCTGCACCATCACACCATCTGAGGCATAAGCAGTCAGCGTTACTACACAAATCTGCATAATATTTTACACTTGTAAGAAGAAAGCACTTTAAAATCACTTGGTACAAAAAGTACAATTCTGTCCGACTGTGACTTTGGTCAAAAACATTAACGGGGGAGATTATGTCCAGTTGAGTCATTGTTCCAGAGGGATCAGATGGCCTACATATAGAGAAAGAGGCTGCAAATGTCTTCTGCTGTACCTTCCACAATGCTGGTCTTAGCTAAGTAGCCCGATGAAGACTTTAAAGCCCCGCTGAACACAAAGAAGGAGGCCCCAGTCACTAAAAGAGGGATAAAAGGAAATAATACATCAAAAACTCACTTTCCTCATGCAAAATTATTCATTCACTTTTGGATAAGTGTCATTTACTACCCTGAATAGCATTTTTCAGAAAGTTTCAAAAACATCTTTAGAGTGCAATAGAATAAAACAGAAGACTGGAAGATGAATTTTTGCTTTAAAGGGATATTCTATCCAAAATACACACACACACACACAAACACGCATACTTATACTTAAGTGTATACATATATACATACATACATACATATACATATACAGTATATACTATACTAATATATATATATATAATACATTTTATATTTAAAATGTTAACAATTGTGAAAATTTCAAGAAGGAAAAAACTAAATTTGATCTATGTATGTCAATGGTTCGGATTTCAAAACAGCAAACCAATCATATTAGATTTTTTCTCATACTGTGTACCACTCAACTCAGTAATTTTAACTCTGATGTGCAGTATGATGGAACAAAATTTTGAACTTGAAACTCTGGAAATCCAAAACTCTGGTGGCATCCAAGGAGAGATAGACACTTCATTTTTACACAAATAAAATGCACCAGTGAGTCGAAGTGTATGCATTATATGATAATAAGGCTGTGTAGTAAAGTACAGGTGTGTAAATTAGAAAATAAACCTCCTTTTCAGTAATTTGTTAGCAAATCCATTGACATCACACATTTTTCTTTTTATGTTTATGTTTGGGCTGCGTGGACACTTTTTGGACCAGCTGTACCCTGACTATTAACGTGAGGAATCTGCTGTTATGTATATAAATGTAGGGAAATCATTTAGGGTCATTTGTGTGCTTTGGCCCTTAAGTGTTGCTCCTACCTGCAAGATGCAGCTGGTGATGTCGGAGGCGATCTTGGCATGGGGTGTGTCTTCGTCTTTGCCCTGCGGCTGGAGGTTATGCTCGAGACAAGACTCCCATAGTGACACCAGAGCTGCTCCGTGCCTCTCAATCGAACCTGTTTCCCTAATAGCTGTAGTGATGCGTGTGATGCAGATCTCCACCACCGCTTGGTCATTGTCATTGGTCAAGTAGTCCTGCAACCAATCACAAATCACATAACTGAAGGAAAGAGATGTGCATTTAAGACTCTGTTACATGTTGCAAATTTTCAGGTGCAGATGAAATCTGTGCCATATATTGTGTGACAGCAGAAATTCTGCAATGCTATTTATATTGAGGTATATATCCATGTTTTGATTTTATAAAATCTGACACCTAAACGAAAAATATAGTCAACTCTTGCAAACTGCTTTGATTATAATGGGAGCAATTTAGTTTGACCACACCATGTGTAACTGTAGGCCGTTTCCAGTTACCAAGCTGATGTGCGGTCACACCTTCACAGATTTGCATATATTTATTATTTTGCAATACTCTGAATGTGGCTCATTCAAACAGATTTAAAATGTATTACTGTTTTTACCTCTTTATTATACAACATGAAGTTGTTTTGCACTGATGCAAGATTTATCATTCATTTACTATAAATCTTATGTTTTGGTTTGCATCCATAATGTTTAAATCAAAAAAATAAAATAAGATCAAGTTTCTTTATTTCAAAATCCAGTGAATAGGTCTTCTTACATGGTTATGTAATATATAAAACATTTATGGACTGACATCCATCCACTGACTGTTTGTTAAGCTACAGAGTATTTACATGCAAACAGCTTTATTTAGAGTTCTGAAAGCATGAGGTATCTTTAAACTAGAAAGTTATGTAGCAAATATTTTCATCTTTGTGGTGTGGCATGTTCGGAATGATAATGTTATGCCAGTGACTGTGGAAAGGAGGACACTGTAGGCCCTGGAGAGAGAAATACAAGAGAAGAGAGAATGAGAGAAGGCTACCCCTGAGATGCTGGATGAGCCCAAATCTGTTTACAAAAGCCAGCCAGAACAAAGAAGCCCAATGAGGCAAGAGGAACTGGCTTTATCACGCTCAGTGACACCAACATTCCTTCAGAAGTTCTCTCATTTAAATTTAAAATATACTAAGTGTGGAAATAAGGGGTCACCTTATTCAAATTATTCAGATATGCAGTGCTGACAGCGTCAGTGATCAGCCAGAACATGCCATATGCTCTCTAACTTCACTTTAACAGCATAACATCAACAAGGCATGTGATCAGCTAAGGACAAACAGGAAGTAAAGCTTGTTACTTTCCACTGAATATGTCTATTTTTGTTAGGGATTTGGACTTTTTGGCCAGTAGTGTTTTTCCTTTTTTGTGTGTCTGTGAGTGTGTGTATCCTGGGCATGGCTATGCACTCCTCTCTGTGGCTGATTGCTGAATGTGAATCACCTGCTGCCAATCAACTCATCTGCCTCCAGTATTTAAACCCTGGGTCTTCAGTCATTTTCTGCCAGATCATTCACCCCTGATT